CCGCCGCCCCCCGCCCCTCCCCGCCGCGCGCCCCCCCTGCCCGCCGCCGCCGCCCTCCCCTTCGGCTCCTTCCCGCCCCCAGCTGACGGGAAGAGGAGGCGCCGCGGGCCGGCTCCTTTATTGACTTTCTGCCGTCTTGTGCTCTTCTGCCTTGTGCTTTAGTTTGAGCGATGAGGTGTCGTGGGCCACTCAAAGGCCCGTCACTAAACTGGTCAAATACTTTTCTGTACGTGACGTCTGCTCGCTGCTGGCTTAAGTAAAAACGCTGTCTGAGGCAAAGCTTGTGACAGGAAACTTGCCTCTCTGAGCACTGCACATCTGCAATGGGCAGGGGGATCCAAACCTCATGCCTGGCTGGTTTGTGAGGCGGCTCTTGGCTACACTTCGCTGTGAACAATGTCTTAGAGATGCCTGCTGCAGGCGCAAAAGGAAGGTGGCTTCAGACCGGCATTCTAGGTCTTTTTACTAGGCTGCTTGATTTTTTTTACACGGGTTCCTGCCTAACTAAAGTATATCAGACAAGATGTCTCCCTTAAAGGAGTAATGGGTATTTTTAATTGCTTTTGATTGTTTTCCATTTGTTTTGATTTGTTATCCTCCGATTGCCAATAATCAAGATAAAATTGCTGAGGAATCTTTGTGTACTACTGTACTTGAAACATGACTCTCCTACAAATTGTGCCTCCCATGTTCAGATTTTTACCAATAGGTTCAGCTTTTTGCAAACTGCAAAGTCCAGAGCTTTCAGCTTACACTACAGCTGTCCCCAAGCTCTGCACTGGTGCCTGCAGTAACTGCATGCAAGCAGCAAGTGTAGAGTCTACGTCTAGGACTGCGCAGTGGCTCTGCTAAGCAGAGTTGGAGTTTAGTATTAGCCCTGTTCAATTCAACAGTCATTGTGGTTCTCAGTTAGATGGGTCTTAGGCAATCATGCATTTCCTTCTGGGTGAGGGGAGACTCAGAGCAGTCTGTTCAGCAGAATTGCTGATAACCCAATCACATTTAAGAACCCTAAATAGTGTTTGACTGGGGAATGTATTTCCTGCTTATGTTAGAATATAAAAGCTTTTATTATATACGTATGTACACGTTTTAAAATAGTTTGAAGGTGTTGCAGTAGCTCCACTGTAAGTGGAATAATCTTGGGGAAAAAAAATCAGACTTGAAATTAAAAGATTAGAAATTTGATTGCAGACACACTTTGCTGCTCTCTCAATCATTCAGAAGGGCAAAATGGCCTCAGCGAGGCAGCTGTATTAGCACCGTCCTTCCTTCGGCATTAAGAGACTTCTAAGTTTCCAGCAAGGGAATCTGAGCCTAATTTTGAGTTGAGTCACAAGTTCCCCCAAGCCAGTTCTAGAAAACTGTACTGTGACGCTGCTCTAGCAGTGTTACTTCATCTCCACAGCTGTTGAAGAGAAACCACAAAGAATGGCCAAAAAGCTTTATCAGGAACTTAATTCTACAAAGAGGAGGCACACTTACATTCGGTGTCACGTGAAGGAAGCTCCAGTGGAAACAAACAAACAAACAAAATGCAAACAACTGGCCGTACAGAAGTATATCCAGATAAATTATATTGCAATCCATGAATCAGGTAAATTGTAGGTGTTTTGCATAGCTTCCACTCACTGTTCACAGATGTCATATTTTAATATATAACTTTAATATTTTTAATATATCACTTTTTAATATTTAACTTTCAGTTCTCTCTTAGGCAGCAGCAGAAGAAATCAAAGTTTTTCTGACAGTATCTAATACAAAAAGTTAACTGAGGTCTAACAACTGGAGATAATGAAAAAAAATCAGTGAAAAAAACAAACCGAAAGTAATTCAGACGTCAGTGATTTCAATTACAAAAGTCATAGAGGGAACAGATGACAAAAATACAGAATCCAATGCGTGTCAGCCTCATGAAGGGCATTTTCAATATCAAGTTTTTTAAGCACACTGACCACAGTCATGTAACTTCCATCTAGTTTTCAACAGAATGAAAGGAAACATAATTATGTAATCAAGTTGTTACCCTAGACAAATACAAATCAACTCCTTAGAACAAATGGATATATCATTTCTATGCAAATAATGCACAGAGTACCAAAATGTTTTATTTGAAAAATAAACCCTTAAGGTACGTTTTTAAAAAACATAACATTACAACTATATTTCAGCATTTTGTCAAATTGAAAGTATATCTTTAGGTTGCAAACTGTTCATTTTAGTGGTCAAGCCTTAGCAGGATCGACATGTTTGATCTGAAAAGTGCTGCTGAAATGAATTTGATGTATAATCAGGTAAAAGTATGTAGTGCAGGTATATGCTCTTGTTAAGGGCTTCTTCTGGTCTTCTTTCCATACAGGATAGCGTCCATCAGAGAGAAATGAAGTCAGTTTCTATTAGTGATGTTTCACCGAAAGCACAAAAGGATATTTAAATGTCATATTAAACTCACACAAAACAGTCTTTCCTGTTGGAGCCATCAGATGCATCAACTGCTAGTAAACCTAGATTTGACCTACGTTAAAAAAAATCAGAGAATTCAATATAGCTCTTCTGTATCTCTGATTTCCCTATTATGATGCTCTTAAAAAAAAAAAACTAGTGTTTTAGAGTAGCACACCCTGAGCATACAGACATATGCCAAAGGAACATCATAGTGGCTTTCAAACCAATATATTCATGTCAGTGTTCAGTATATTGTCTTCTAAAATGTCTAAAACTTTGCAACTGAACACTGACCACGTTCCAGATGAGTCTTTTAATTCACACCATGAGCTCTCAAATCTTTTCTTTAGAGATCTGTTTTGTCCTCATACTGACACATACATGCAGCTCTCTGGCTGTCCAAGTAGGGTTTACATCCTAAATGTATAACTGCATCAAACAACAGCTGAACTGTTGATTCACAAGCTGCAAGAAGAGAAGAATTTAGTTAGGAATACTCTTTAAATGGAACATGACACTAATAGATATGACTCTAGCAACTTGAAAGAGATTTTAAGAAACAAACAGTCCTCTCTGGTCATAGCAAGGAGACCATCAAATGAAAGACTGAACCAATGCAGAATCATTTACAGTTGTGACTAAAGATATTTCATACTCCAAGCAAATGAGCAAGAAAGTTCATTGCATACGGACTGTTAATCAGTGTTAGAAAGATGAAGCAGCTACTTTTCCCCTCACTTTTTGAACAAACCCAGTTTGTTCAAAGCTTTCTATCTTTAACTGCAGCTCAACGGAACTGAAAAAAATGTTCACTGACACAAATATTCTGATACAAAATACTAGCAACAAGACTTCTTTGCAGTGTTTTTGCAATGTGAGAGGTGCAAACACTGGTTTGTTCTAAAAACTGACTCTTCAATGGAACTACTTACTGTAAGTTAGTAGCATACTACTTACTGTAAAAGCATCATTGTCCAAGTTCTAAAAATATGGTTATATCATGTATTGATTGAGATGTGGGCTGGCAATCAGCAAGCATGGACTGTACTGAAAAACCTAGAATTTACGTACTGAGAGATAGCATTAAGTGCTTACACTATAACAGTGTATTATTCTAAGATCACCACTTCATAAAGGAAACAATCATTTTCTACAGTTTACTAACAATCACAATTAGGCATTTAGAATTCACCCAGTAGAACAAAATACTTAACTATGCTATGGGAAATACAACACACACATTTTTATGAAATGATATTCCTGTCTGCGGACACCCAGATGGGGCACGCATATTCCTTGCCAAATCAGCTCGGTCAAACTTGGGAAGAAAAGCATGCTTTTCACTCTTACCTTGTACACTTTCTGATATTCCAAGTGTTTTTTGAACATCTCTGCAGATTTTGGAGAGGCAGGACTGAAACTGCTCATCGCAATCATTTTTTTTATTGCCACAAGTGTCGTAGCATCTGTCATGGTGATTGCAGCACTTTGTCATTGAAGGGATACCAATGTCGAACTGTGAAGGAAATCACCCTCCACCATTAGTAGGTATTTAACTAGGAAAGATGCAGTCTCTGAATATTGATGGCATATGAAAGATAGAAATTGAAAACTCACACAACCACTCCAGAGGTCATTCACTTATGTCTGTAATTTGCAGTTCTCGTCTAACAAGTTGCTCAACATTTCCTCTCTAGCATTTAGGAAAATGGATTAGTGTCAGCAGGGAGAATTATGGTAAGAGCCAACCCCTCCACTTGCATGAACAGAGGACTATTGTGGGGATTACTCAATGCTTCTGAAAACATTCACAGGATTAAACATTTTTATTGGAAGATTAGAAACTAATCAACATTGTTTTATGCCTATAATATTTTATGTCAATGATGAAAATATTTGTGCTACTCCGTCTATAATCCTGTCTTTTCCCATGTGATGTTACCAAAGCATGCGCTGGAGCTAAGGGGAGTGGGAACACTGTACATAGGTGCTGTCTCCATCTTCACCATCAGGGAGGAAAAGAGCTCCTGCACGGCGGAAAGTCTGTGTGAAAGACCACAGACACAGAGAAAGCAAAGAACAGGCTTACCTGTACTCCAAACAGAGGAGATCCACAGCCGTTTGGTGGTGAGGGCTTATATCCATAGCGGGCAAAGGGCTTTGATCCTGAGAAAGGGAATTTATAGGGTCTCAAGTAGACTTTTTTTTTTTTTTTTTGCACAGAAGCTTACTGCTGTCAAAACTCCTGAGAGAGGGGCTTAAGACAGCATCAGAGGCATTTTTGAACTAAGCTCTATGTTCAGGCACCTGCACATAAGCCGCTCTTTCCAAATCGTAGCTTTTTTTCAGCTTGCGGAGTCGCTGGCAGTGACACACGCGTGACGCGTGTGCTGCGCGGGGCGCCCCCGGCGCGCAGGAGGCTTTCCCGGCGCGTGAAGGGGCCCGCGCCCCGCGGCG